AGAACGTCGGAGAGTAGCATTTTTTTAATACTGATAATAAATAAGGGTCAAACGCGGTCAATAACAAATTGTCACTATAAAAACCTTAGCTATGTCAGAACGGTCTTAAAAAACCATGAAAATCTTCGAGCATTTATTTGGAGTTCGGAATTTGGAATATATCTCAGAGTTACGAAACATTTATATATGGAATTAATTTCCAAAGTCCACAAGATTTTTTTGATCAAAAATTTAGATCAAATGGTTTGAATTAAAACCACATTTATTTTATCCTAAATATGTATATTCGGAAATGATTCATACTTCGAAGAGACAATTCAAATATATTCACGGCGCATTCCCTTTACATATATATGAAATCTGATGACAACGTATTTTTAAATTAAGAAAAATGATCTCTTCTTTACGAACAGAGAAATTCCAAAATGTATATCACCCTAAGATTACCATTTAAATAGTCTATTCTGATTATTCTAAAAATTATTATGCTGTTCTCGCTATCGATCACGTTTCGGAGGATATTTCGGTGTTCTGACGAATGCAGCTCAGAATTTGACATTAATATTCGCTGTGACTAATAGATGCAATGTGTATTTGAAATTCCAACGCAACAGCAAATGAAAACATAATGCGAAAAATAATTTAATATAGAGAAGTTGTACTTTCTCAATTTAGCAGGAAACATACAGTTTTTGTTATCCTGTATTTAGGTGGATTCTGAAACTGCAACTGCTGGATTTTTCAATATGATAATAACGGAATCGCCGCGAAGGAACATTTTTGTTATGAAACGATCCTTCGCAACGGGCTTCGCCTTCTTCTTCCCTTTCCCCGTTTTTGGTAACTCTGTCCACATTTCTTTAACATTTTCCAGAACCATATTACAATGCCTAGAAAAGGCTAAGTCAGTAATTAGTATTTCTTATAAACATAACAGCAGATTGAAAATCCGCAACATAGTTTACATATTTCTACCTCAAATCACTACTTTTATGAGAAAAGAGAAACCAGTAGAACCAAACACATAATTATCTAAACTTATGGCATTGTTTTCGTCAGCGTGGATAAGATGTAATCATAAATAATAATAATAATTGATGAACCTATCGAAAGCTTTTACACGACCAAGCAATTTCTTGTTGTTTCTGCAGTTGATCAGGACTTGCGCATTATTCTTTACTGACTGTGTAAGCACAGAAAGTGGACCAACGTTGAATTCTTCTTGTTCTTTCGCTGCTAACTCTTCTTGAGTCATTTCAGATCGAGGCTTTGCTAATCTAAAATATTTCCATATCTATACTGTTCTCGTAGATTAACTGGAAAATGTAGCTAAAGATAATGAAAACTTACGCAGCCATTTCCTTGAATGAAACGCAATACTAACACAAATAAATTCGCCAGAAATAAATCTGCAAATCAAAAACTGCATGGACTGCATGGTTAAATGAAATATTAAACGATATGCTTTAAGATGTCAACTATACTGAACACGAGTACTTAGAGATGAAATGTACTAATACAATACAAGTTCAATTTCGGATGAGATTTCACAGTTCATGCAATGATTATCGTATTAACTGGTACTATTTATTAAAGGATTAATGCGTGATTAATGCATAAAAACACTCCGAAAATATATTCTTAGTAAAGCCTTTTGAAATACAGAAGAATTGCAAAGGTAAATTTCTCTTCACCTTTGTAGCAGCAATCAAGCGGTTACTTCTTATATCAGCACATCACATAACTTTATACCTTTTTGATAAAAAACTATGGTGTGTAAGAGATCAGGCTAAGAAATCTTGCAAAACTCAAGCAATAAATATAAGAAACTCATTGCCAAACGAATGACCCCTTCACCTAACTTCCTTACCCAACTTCAGTCCCAAATGTTTATGAAAGCTAAAAGATCCTTCGAAGTACTGCACGAAATTTACCGGACTGCTTGCGGGCCGTGATTATTAAACTTATGCTACTGTGAAAATCGCGTTCACTCGAGTGTTTTAGGTTTGGTGGAATTCATTTGGGTAGGTTCGTTAGATTAGCGAGGGAGGTGAAGCAATGAAGATTGAGTTTGCAGTAATAATCTCTCTCACTATAGCTAACAGATAATATTCAGTAGTGAGTATTGTTATTTGAGGAATTGTTAGACATTGTTCTTCCTAAACTCTTTTTTGCAATGTCCATATGGATGAACCGAATATTCTGATTAGAAATCATCGTAAATGTGGATCGAGAATATAGGATTTGTTATCTGACACACTATCTTGTTATCTGTAAACTTTCTTATAAAGGTTTAATTTTTACTTAGCCGGTAGAGATTATACAAGAATGTTTCAGGTGGAAATGGTGGCTACTGAGCATCACAACGAAGGTATTATGTTAGCATCTTTTGCAACTCTGTCTATCTTACAGTTAGTCAAGGATGCACAGCAGAAGCATGGATTACGTCATGGAGATTATCAAAGATATCGGTGTGTTATCTTATTTCTCCACTTAACTTGTTAATCAAATATAATTCCATGTTACTGATTTTCCGTGATAAGAACTTAAAATCTAAGGCAATTTTAAGTGGCCCTCTCAGTTTTCATCGTTGTCATGTATTAAAAGCGTTTCCTATGCATCCCTGAAATTATAGGTAAAGTGCGCCTTTTTTAATGTGGTGATATATTTGCCAACAACATGTTCCCAAAAGCAATAATTTTGATAGTAAAATATGCAAATCAATTTTTTCATTTGTTTCAGAGGGTATTGTGCGCGTCGTGTTCGAAGAATTCGAAAATCACTTGGGTTCACTAATATACATAAAGGCGTTTCAAAGCATACTGCAAAGTTTATTCCAAAAAAACTAGCATTTGATATTGTCAGTGAAGAAAGGTAACGATTATTACATGTTTTGTGAGGGATATTTATGTAACTGTCAAACGCATAATCCAAAATAGCAATATATTTTCACGAATAATAACAATAAAATCAAAATCAGGTTTCTACAAATAGCAGTTTTTGATGCTGAAAGGAATTGGTCGTATGCAATTCAGCTAAAACAAGAAATTGGTGAAGATATGCATTCAAGAAAACGTTTCCATATGATTGGAAAACTACGAAGAGCGGTGAAACATGCATCGAATCTCGAAAGTATCATCAAAAGTTGTGAGCGTGTTCGTTTTTATGTTTCAAAATTATTTCTCCTTTACGTTGCTGTGATAAACCAGAATAATATAGGATGGTATAAAATCGAATTTTAGAGATGATTTGAAATCCTTAAATTATTTAAGAGATGACAAAGAACGACATATTAAGGTTATATTTAAGGTAGATGGGGTGACGAGATTAGAATCGCAAGCATATAATTCGTGGATGCATGGTTGTCTTCGTTTTGAATTGAAAGAGTGGAAAGCAGCCTTAGAGTGTTTCAGAACTGCCAAGTAATCTTTTTGTAATAAATTTTGAAGGATTTCTCACTTTCAGAGATGGTTTATTTTTCATGCTATTAATGAATCTTTGACTGAATTCCTGAAAAGTCAATTTTATTAATGTTAATATATGATGGTTTTTCACGGTTCATTTAGGTTTAATTAATTGTTAAAATACTAATTATTTCAGAAAAATATATGAAAAACTTGCTGCAGTTGTGAAACTTCCTAATTTAGTGGAGCTTTACAACGTCAGGTGAGGTTTTTAAGTATGTATCAAAATCAGTTTAATCAACCATATTTATTTTCATTTTTCATATGATTGTTTTTTAGGTGTCGAGAAATACAACCACAGATGCGTTACTGCGAGTTCAACTGCGGTGATGATGCAAGCTGTGATGTTGCAATGTCTGAGATGATCAATATGAGACTACAACTGACTGAGGAGGAAGGTGTTTTACAGGAAGATTTTGATGTTAGTTTAAAATTCATTTACTTCAAGCTCGAAAGCAACGAACTTGGTCTCGTAATTTACGAGTAAAATATTCATATTCGTATAAAATATTCATATTTGCAGGATTAAGCATTTATAATCTAATTTCTATGGCTTCGCTTATTAATGTAGTTAAGTGTTTTCAGAAATTAATAGCGGAGTTACGTACGAAAGCAGTCGTGCATTATATAAAGGATATTGAGTGGGCTAATGAAAAGGTTGCTGTAACAAATGATAATGTTAAAAATCTTTTACAAGCTCTTGAGCAGTTTGATCATGAACTTGCGCAAACAGCAGTTCATGAAGACAAGGTTATTTTTTGTTTTATAATATTTATTACTCATTGCTCAGCATTCCTAAATATTACGAATTAATCTTACTCTATTTCCGCATTTAAAAAAATTTGTACTGAATGTATTATAGTTCTTGATTGCTGCTGGAAAATTAGATATGAACGTCTGGCTTTTAATTTCTTTCCAATAGGAAGTATTCTAATTATGTGGCTTTGCATAATTAAAGTATTTCCTAGTCGATTAAGCAGCAATTTGTTTCAATTTTAACCGTTAATATAAAACTAGCTTACTGTGTTATGCCTGCGATCGCATTTGTAGAGAATTACTTTATTAAATAGCAAGTTTTTTTGGCGTTATAGAAATCTAATCCATGGTGTTAATGATGCTAACTTACCGTTGTGATCACCGCGTCACATTTCTTAATGACCAAGATATATTTTGTTTTGTAATGTTTTCTTGCTTTTCGCTATATGCTCATCATAACTGATGCATTCGATTGCTAATCACAAACTTTGAATTGAATACACTTCAAAAAATTCATTTTTTAGATGATTCTTTATGAGCAATTGTTGAGCAGAATCCGCGATGTGATACAAATATTAAATGAGGAACAGAAGAAATTAGTAGATAATGGAAGTCACATCGATGGCACACACTGTCCGAACCGGCTAACCATTATTTATCTAGAATTTATGCGCCTCAAAAGAACTATAGAACGCTACGTCATGATCATTGCACATACCAAGTATTTATTTATTTCAACGTGATCTTTTTAAAAAATTGTCTTGTTGAAATCTTTGAACTAAATAGGACACAATACTTTATTCACTCATCATTTTGTGTGATTATGCTTTAGAGGTATCTATCGGAGTCGTCAAATTATACAGTGCAATGATTTTTTTCCAAATAATTATCTACTTATTAATATTTGCAAAAGTTAAATGGCATGTTTATAATGAGTTATTACTTCCTGTTTTCAGGACACAGTCAGAAAAGAAAATCAAACCACAAGATTTGATTCGTTTGTGCGACACAGTGATTGAAAATAGTTGTGAAATTTTAGAACTACCTGGTGTTGCAACAAATAAAGAGTTGGAAACAGCGTACAAAACGAAAGCAGAATATTATCGAGCATTCAGGTTCCTTCGTTTTCGTGATTTCACTCACTTTTTCATAAATTTTCAGTTTTGGGGTTTAGCTTTATCTATTTGGTCCTTATTAGAATGTTGATTACTCGCATTATTTCTTTTTTACTCACCGATTTATTATTTTTACATTCTGTTTTTCAAACTGCTGCTTTCGAGATGCCTGCATATTACCGAAACTTGCACAGCCTTATTCATTTTTTAAAAAATTTTATTCAGGGTGGTGATAGTTTTGTGTTTCTTTCAACCGTACTCGTTTCCAGATAAAACATGTATTATTCGTTTTCTCTTAAAAAGAGGTACTTTTGTGAATATACAAAGTTTTTTTATAATATGAATGGCTTGCATTAGCCATATCAATACAGTATTATCACTTTTTTTTCATTTAGATGTTTTTGTTTGGCTGAAGCACATGCAGCTTTAGCAAAGTGGAATGAAGCTAATGTTTTATATGATCGGGCTATAGAGCGTGTTTCAAATACTTCGCTGTTACTAGAAAATGCGAAACAAAACGCTTTTATCGTGGAAAAAGAGGTCATTATGATCTTGTTATAATATCTTAGTTCAGAAATTTGATTGAGACAATTCTAACTTGCTCTGATTCAGTGAATTATTATTGACCAATTTAAGGATGATTTAAAGAAATTACATGAACAAATAACGGCATCAAAATTTGCTACGCAAGCAAATCGTCTTGTTGAAGCTGCAGGTGGCAACAGATGTGATGCGAAACAAGAAACTTTTGATAGCAGGGTGTGCTTTTTGTTCAGTTTAGATGAACAGCTAGTTTCTAAATTCTCTTTTTTGTTGCCTACTGTCATGCAGCTTTTTCTGTAAATGATTATATTAACATATAGCACTATGAATCTGTTGGTGTGGTTTTATTCATTATTTTGATGAGCTTTGCAATACTTCATGCTTCAAAAAAAGTTTTTTAAGCTATAGAAAATTCAAACTAGCTTATTGTTGATAAATAATAATATTGTAGCTTTCACTGTATTTTAGCCTCTCGTTGATGCATTGACCGAATTTCGTAAAATTACACCCAAGGATTTACATAAAGCAGAACAAGGTATTCGCGTAATATCAGTGCCTCCTTCATTTATTCCTATGCCAAACAAACCTATGTTCTTTGACTTGGCCTTGAATCATGTAAAGGTCAGTATTTATCATTGTTTTTAATATCCAAAAAATCGCAGAATCTTTACTGAATTCTATTTATTTTTTGTCGAAATTTGTTGCTAATTATTAATATCTCTTACTGTATTCCAAGAGTAGCATGTGTTTACAGATGCCTGATCTGGAATCGAAAATCGCTTCTTATGCAATGGATAAAAAGGAAACAGCGCAACGCAATGAAAGAACAGAAAAAGGAGTTAAATCAAAGCAGCATGAACAAGAAGCGAGTCAACAAGGAATTGGTGGTTTAGTGAAAGGATGGTTTTGGCGAAAATAAGTAACTTTAAAAAAAAAAGTATGATTTGTGAAACAAAATTTTGAATTGTACACTTAGTGGCTGGAATGAAGAACTACGGAAACATAGTTTCGTAGATTGGTTAACGCAAATTTGTTTTCAGTACTTGTGCAGATAAGATGAAATCAATGAAACTTTGATTTAACTCCTTGAGTGTTATGTTTTTTCCTTGTTCATTTTGAAAAACATTATTTATGCCTCTCATTTATAAAATGTTGCATCAAATTCGAAGAAATTATAATTATATAGTGTATGTAAATTAATATATGTGTAAATCTGGTTTTTTTTTCTGGGTTGATTAAAAAGAAACTTGTAACCTGAAATTTAAAAATTCGTAACTCCAGACTTTAATTTCGTAGAAATGAAAGTTCTTATCCGTCATTTTGTTATCAATTGTCTTTCATTTCATATTAAACTGATGTGAGAATTTTTTGCTTGTTTTCCATTTTTGTTAGATAAATACATATGACGCTTCGATTTTTTATTGGTGTTGCGAGATCTATTTTTACTCATTGCTCCAGCAGTTTTCATAGTTTTACAACTATGTTTTGTAGAATATCTAAAAAGGTCGTTTTAGGCACTCGTGAATTGTTGACATAAATTTTGAAGATCAGTTTAGATGTGTACCACATTATTTATATTTAATAGAATATGGACATTCTTTGGTGTTCTGGCGGTATGAGCCGCTTTGCATTCGAATCTGTAATGTTTCTGTGATAGTCCTGTTATGTCAAAATTTGTAAAAACAAATTTTCCATTTATTTTTGTTGTTGTTGAAATTCTTCGCTTTCTTTATTAATTTATTTTCTTTTTTGTGTGTGAAGTATTTCTTTATAATTGCGCTAATTGTATTATTATGTCAGTTGAATTCTCTGTCATTTTATGTTTGAAAATTGCTTTTTGAAGTTTCATTAAAATAAATAGTTGAGAAAGTAGCAACATTGATTTTTCCCGTGCGGTCACTGATCTTATCTACACTTATTTTTCCTTTTTATCGAAGTTTCGGTAATTGTTGAGTTTTTTTGGAGATGTTGTGAATGATTTGATATTACTAGCTACCTCTTATGTAGAGCGGATTGAGTGTTGTGTACAATGTAAAGTCATTAGTAATTTGAGACTTTTCTTACAAAACTTCAGTAATGACAAAAGCTACTGGAGAAATTAGACAGCACGGTCCAAATCCTGCTGGCCGTCTTTATGTTAAAGCTGTATTTACTGGTTACAAGCGTTCACAACGGAATCAGCATGAGCACACAGCCCTGCTAAAGGTCGATGGTGTCTACAATAAGAACGACGCTCAGTGGTACGTTGGTAAACGTGCACTTTACGTTTACAAGGCGCGTAACAAGGTTAGGGTGAGTGTATTTACTGCTTAATTAGTTATCAGACCCATATATCTCAATATCGATAATAACCTCAGTTTTATTATTTCAACTGCTACTTCTTCCTTGCGGTAGGAGATGGAGGAAGAAGATGCGGTATATTTTATGCAGGGTCGACTGCGCCACGCATTTTTTGTATCGTGTTTTCATGCGTTCTCGTCTCTTATAATGTTTACATGTATGATGATCCATCCACATTATTCATGGTACAGTAACTGACTACATTGTTGGACATCTCTTTCTGTTTCTTTCACAATCCTGTTTTGCATATTTTCATCACTGATTCAAGCTAAATTAGTCTGTTTCAGTCGACAAACAAAGAACCGAGTCGAGTCCGTGCTATATGGGGAAAATTGACACGCGTACACGGTAACGGTGGTACATTGCGGGCTAAATTTCATCGTAATCTTCCTCCACAAGCTATGGGAAAACGTATCAGAATAATGCTTTATCCTTCGAATATATGAATTGTGGTTTTTTATTGTTATCTGCTTGGCATTAATTTATAAGCATATATTGATATAAATATTATATTTTCTTGCAACCGTATGAGGCAGTTGATTTTGGTCGTATTAAAACTGCAGTCGGAAATTGTGGTGACACTGCTGTGGGATTAGAACGGATAGATTGAATATTCAATCGTATCACTACGCATGCGCAATTGCTCGCAGCTGGTAAATGTTGAAAGTTAAGTTGTAGGCTATCTGTCCCTAATGTTGTAGATTGTGTTGCATCAAATGAATTGATCTCGACGGAAATGGCGTGGTCAGATGGTCTGACTGCCCTCAGTCTATATCACGGTCCGAGTAATTCGAGTGGTAATTCGTCTTCTGTTTTTCCTTTCCATTGAGGATGTCATTGTTTCCACTTATTGCGTTGTGGCTGAGCCGCGGGCCGTATTTTTTTGGGCTTCGAGGTATGCGAGCGGTTTGACGGGTAGGAGCGAGACAATGGGCGTTGTGGTTTCTCGCCCGTTGGTTGATAGTACCGGGGCGAGTTTGAAGTAGAAAGGTGTGGTGGGTTTTGAGGTAACGGCGAAGTTGTCGCTTGATAAGGAAGTGGTAATGGATGCCATCAAAATTCAGATGATTTAAAGAGATTTGATAACTAAACTGGACATTTGATAAAGAACCTGAGAGAGGGAGTAATATTCCGTGCTGGTGTTGCCGGATCTCTCAAAATACCAACTGCATTTTAATTTCCTTATCTTTTCAATATATAAGAATACCAGAGGTCTTCCGCCACGTCATCTTATGATCGTGTTGGATAGATTAAAGGTGGTTATCCGCTTTTGTAGCTATTTTATTTTAGGCTTTTTTCTAGTTCAATAAAATTATAAAATTAAAATCTAAAAATGGCAATGTTTGGCATGGATAATGAAAAGAAGACTTTGCTCATTCAGGAAGTATATCGAAGGCCGCTTATTTGGAAGGTATATTTATTCTAAAATATTAATTACATCGCTTGTTATTCATAAAGTTTTATATGCATGTATTAATAGCTTTAGAGATATAAGTCGTGGTTATACTTTTTTCAGGTCACTGACCCCCGATATAGCGATATTCCTGCTCGTTGGCTTGCTTTTGAGGAAATAGCTCAGGAACTGAGTGATGATGATTTAGTTTTCACCAGTTAGTTATTTTAATTATTTCGTACATTGCATGTTATGCAGTGAATGTTTTTAGGAAATCATTGTAATTGCAAATGACTTTATCACTGAGATCAATAGTAGACTGATGTGTGGAACTGTTCTGATATGATAACCTGGTATTTTTTAAACTCTTCTTACTCATACAGGATTAGGGTTATGCAAAATTGGTTGGGTAAGGGCTCTGGGTAATATGGCCACTTCCAATGAATTCAAAAAAAAAATTAAGCCATTTTTCAAGGATGTTTGGGATCTTGATATCTAGACGCTGAACAGTGACTGGAAACGTGCTTATAAGAATCTCAACCTTTAAAGTGGAATCATAGTTCTTGCAACAAGCCTTACTGAAAGCAGACAGCGGCAAAATGAAACATTAGAAGTAATCATTTCCAAATTAAATAAGCAATCTGCAAACAATACAGTACATTTTTCTCAAATATTACTAACATTCCTTCCAGGTGATATGATTAAGGTAGCTTGGAAGAACATAATGGATTACTATAATCAGATACGCCGTAGACATGATCGGGCAGTTGCTGCTGGTTTTGATCCACCGGATTCAAAGTGGCAATTCTTTAATTTGATGCATTTTACAAGGCAGGATAAACCACCTGTGAAGAGGAGATATAATTGGATGCAGCCGTCAAAAGTTTCTCATTTTTCATAGCTTATGTTCCCAGAAAATTTTTCATCTTATTTTAATATTAGAAATAAAATTTAATTGATTGAGGTCTAGAACTCTGGATTTTTTATGTAAATGCAAAAGTTCAATTGATTATTTATACAATATGAATAACAGGTTTTGTTATAATTAATGAAGGAATGAATTTTCAGATTCCACGAGGCAGTGAATCGCTTGTGGCTCAGGATGATGAAGTTTTGGTTAGTATTCACAATTTTTATATTTATTTATGCAGTATGTTGACTACACGATTTATTAGTGTGGTCGCGAGTGTAATTTAAACGACTTTATCAGATTCAAATGCGTAACAATTATGAAGCAGCCTTTGTCAATAATACTATAATTTCGAAAGAAGAAGCTCAGCGTGTGATTTGTATTACACCAAGAACGAAAGAATCTGAGAAGTTAGTCTTTTATTTGAGAAAAACGTGTTTTTAACATTTTTGACGAGAGGCTACCAAAACTATCTGCTATATAGGAATATAAGGGAGATAGAGTTCAAGTTCTTGTGCTTGTAAGAAATATTTTAGAGCACGTTTGAGAGCAAAACGTGAAGCTTTACGTGATGCAAATGTAGTGCAATCAACAGCATCACCAGTGGCCAATGGCACTTTTGTTGGAACTCGTAATGGGAATAAGATTTCGTACAATCGTACAAGAGCTGCCGCACGGGCAAAATTTGAAGCCACTTTAACGGAAACAGTTGAAAGTGATTCGGACTATTTGGAATCAAGTGAATCTCAGGAGACAAGAGAGCATATGCTGCCAACTCGTCGTCGTGGAAGACATCGAAGAGATATCTACTCTCCCGAGCCAGGTGGTGTCATATTGCCGTCTAAATATCGTTCTGCAGGTCCTGTGACAAGGTCTACGAATACCTCTGTCAAGAAAATAAATGGAGTGCAAAAACCGCAACCTGTCGAACATATACCAACAAAAGAGACAGTGGGTGATACTGGCTCTTCACTTACTTTTGGTAATTACCGTATATTCTTCTTTTCTTTTCTTTAATCAAACTTTGCTGCACTATCTATTACTTTCATTAAGTTGAATATTGTCAAATCTCAGCTAACAGCTTTGCTTTAAATATCAGAAATTGCATGTTTATTTTTTTTTATCTTTCTGTGTATGAAATTATGTGAAAAATTTATAGACATTCTTTTATAAACCAAATATTTCAGTTGTTTTTATAAGTGATAAGAACATGATTCGTACAGCCTTACTTAATTGTTCTAATATCTTCATAGTTTTGAGAACGTGCCGCATCAGAGCTATTACACTGTAAAATTCTTTTAGCCGAGCATGTTGCGACGAGATTATTCAAAATCAAAGAGAAATCTTTGGCTGATTATTATCGCATTTGTGATACAGTGGAAAAATTATTGGATGATGCAGAAACAGCACTAGATATTGTGGATACTGATATCATGCTCAGCGATTGAACTTTTTATTTCGTCATTTTCATCATTGTTTGGTATTTTACTGATCCTTTATTACTTTTCACGACGGGAAATTTTTGATTTTTGAGTACCACAGAAGAAATTGAAATTATTTTTGAAAATCATTATCGTTTCTCGTTTTGATTTTCGAAGTTTTATAGGATTTATAGGTTTTTAAAATTTACTTTTATCACCTTAGCTTCATTTTTATGCAGTGTGGTAAATCTCCGAACTATCTAGGATTTGAATTCTTTCTCTGGTGCTTGAAAACTGTCATTTAAAGATTTGCCAAAAATGTGAATATCGTTTCATTTTCTTCAAAATGTGAATATCTTCTCAATTTTTAGATTCGATGCTTTTCCATTTGTGAATGATTTGGATCTTAGTTTTCAAAATCTTATATTTTTTATTAATTTTATCACATTCTTTATTGCTCCTCATTTACTAATGCTTATTTTGTAGCGTCATTGTGAATAACATAGTTCCAAGTATTGCAAATTCTCAAATTTTGCAGCACAGCACTGTTAACATGAAGGATTTTTTTTGCTAATTTAAATTGTTATAGTTTATATAAGCGATGTTGCAGAGAAGAATATGTACGGTTTGTTGTATCGTTTCAAAAATGCCCGCAGCATATATTATTTTCTGGTAACTGTAAATTTATGTATAAGCCTCAATGGATTCTATAATTTGGCATCAAAAAATGACCATAATCGAATTATTATGATGATACATACATGCACATTAATACTTGTCATTGTAGCTCTCAATTCAAAGGTGCAAAGCAAAGAAGGAGAAAAGCTCTTCTTTGACTGTTAAATATACTTTAAATTTTTTATAATGGTTATAAAATTGTTACATTCTCAAATTTGATGATATTGTTTGGTAAGATTTTCACTGTCTATAAAATTATGATAAGTGGAGAAAATTTGTCTTAATAATAATTTTGATATATGAGTTGAAGATGAGTGAACCATTCGAACATTGTGATTTTCATCAAAAATCATAGACTGATTTTCATCAGTCTATGATTTTTTTTTAAATTGGAAGCGTATTTTTTTACGAACAGTATCGTTGAGAATAGCATTAGAACACATCTCTCTTTTAGAAGATGTATATACTAAGTTTAATTCTCTGCAATAAGTTCGTGGAAAATATTTGGATTGAATATTTTGGCATAATGCTTTGAAATCGATTAGAAGAATGCGCAAAAGATTCCATATTTTTTAAGAATTGAAAACTGAATGGAAGAAAGTAGTAAAAAGTGTTATGCTTCTTCACTTTGCATATTCAAACAAAGATGTATAAATATTCGCAGTTATTGCTGTAAATGAAATTTAAAACAATAACAGTGCACACAGATAGTTTTCGGATAATTTTCTAATGTACCAATGCTACCACCATATAAATGATATAATATTACATTACTGCTATAATCATTTGGGCAAAAATCAATGTCCCTCCTTAAATATATTCGATACTTTTATTTTAATTGTTTACAATTGAAATAATGCGCATGAAATTTTGAAATGAATTCAGTTTTTCAAAAAATCTATTTTTTCGATATTGTTTTTTTTAGCAACGAATGTTGCTAATTTGAACAAATGGTTCATTTAAAATATTTTTTAATTTGAATAGATCCATTTTAAATTGTTGGATGGTAGTTAGCAATTTGCCAATAACAAAGGTTGGAAATAAAATGTCAAAATCCATTCATAATGAAAGGAAAAACATTCACTGGTCTGACTCGTATTAGCCCATATTGTTTCCTTTTCCCGAAAATTCTTATGATGTTTTTTTTCAGCATGACTGGAAAACTCTAATTTAAATTTTGTCTTTTAACATGCTTTCCGTCTATAATAAATTTAAATTTCAAAAATTTTTTATGTGCTTTTCTCAATGAAATTCAATCGATCATGCAAAGCAATAATAAAACTATTACGAAAATATATTTAAAATCTTCAGTCTTACATAATTAAAAAAGATTTTTTTCAGGATGAACTATCACACTGGCATAGGTGTAAAATGTTTCACTCATATCATCAATTCTTCAATATATACGACATTTTAATTGAAGAATAGGATAGAATAATATTCCGCTCTAAAATTTTGACCCCTTGTTCAAGAAATCTTAATTGTCATTTTTATTTAGTAGAAAATATTATTCCCCCTGTTTCATTTATATTTCAAATTTGACATATGATGTAGAAGTTCAAGTTATTATATAGATGATATTATTGTTGTATGGAATATTGTTGTATGTTATTACTGTACCGCTATCA